TCAATACGAAACAAGATAGGAAGCTAAAATTTTGTCAAGATCTATCTTTTTTCTGCAGGCAGGTCAAGTTCGAAGATGGGCTATATCGGTCCACGATATCGTATAGCCCTCACATAACTGTAGCCCTCCGATATTAGGTATTTTGTTGATTTTAGCCACATATTTCAATAGAATTGTCTGAAATTCTAATCAAAGACTTTTTTGTGAGTACTTTATTCCATAGAAGAGAATTCTCTATATAGGTCCACGTTTTAGTATAGCGCCCATATAACGGAACCCGCAGATATTCGGTATTTTCATGATTTCTACGACATTATTCACCGGAATTGTTTCAAACTTCTTATTTGAAGTTCGGAACCGTTACTACAGCATATGACAAAATTATTACCACATCTTCGTATAGTCCCCATATAACGGTTTTTATTAGAGCGGTATTTTTCGGTATAATTTTTCTTGAAATTTATCAGGTCTCTTCTCAATGGTATTCAAGGGTATTCAAAGTTTAGCCCGACCGAAATTACTCCTTTATAACTATTTTGTTTTGCTTCGTTAATCCCAGTTTATTTTCCACTCATTTGGCGATTGGGCTTTATTATTCCACTTCATAAATTTTAACACTAGATGTGTTATATGTGACAATGTGTTATTGGGACAAGACTGAGTGCAATTCCCAAACTTTTTAGCTTTTGGTTACACAAAGAATAACTCATTTTGTAACATGTATAGTATCTAACTTGATTCTGTGGGTTTTTCGTCAATTCTTCTAAAATGGATTTCGTCTAATTTGCATGACCGTACCCAAAAATTTTATTTTAACAATATTCTCTTTAAAAATATAACAGTATATTCTGCTGTTCCTCAAGGTAGCCATTTAGGTCCGCTACTTTTTGTACTATATTTAAACACCCTTCCATCTATTATTCGCCACTTCGAAATATTCAGTAAATTGGTATTTGTTGGTCATAATGGGTTCTATATCCGGTAGCGGAATATTATTGTATGGGTCTACATTTTCGCATAGCCCATATATAAAGGTATTTTGATCACTTAAGCCACATTTGTTCTCGGATTTGTACAAATGCCCGTCGTAGACCCAATAAAGTATATAAATATTCATGATCAGCATAAAATTCGATTTAACGATGTCCGTATGTCTGCCTATTGAAATCACGATACAGCCCACATTGTTTGACGTAGATCTCCAACATTTAGCAGAACAATTTGTATTTGGTATTGAAAATGATTTATATCGGATTTGTCTAAAAATTGGTATTTGTACTTCATAATGGGTTTTAGCTCCGATGGCAGAACATTAAATATTTAGGTCCACGTTTTCCTATAGCGCACATATAATCGTTGTTTTTGAGTGCATATTACGACTGTGGGAACAAAAATAGCAAATCGCATGAACAATATATATGGGAGCTATAGCTATAGCTATGTGTGAACCGATTTTCACAAAATTTGACACACTTTCTTCCAGGTTGAATTCGGTCGTATTGGCCAAAATCTATTGCATGCGGACTTATAATAGCAATAGGACTTATAATAGCAATACCCAAATCTGAACCGATCTCGATAAAATTTTCTAAAGTTGTTTCTAAGCTGTATTTGATATATATTTCTCCGAATAACGTTACAAAGGAGTGCATATTACGGATGTGGAGGACAAATTCAACAAATAGGATGAATAATACAGGGTTGTCTATATTCGACGGACCCATGGGCCCATTCCAAACGACGAGGCTTGTCCGCAGGCAACATTCTTTGCGTCAATTGAATTTTGTACGGGAACAAATGCAAATCAATGCGAATAATCCGTTGTAAAGTGGACCGAGCCATGCCCAACTGCTAAGAACGGCGTTTTTGGGATGTTCTTGGGGACCTCTCAACACTGGCTCGTACGGCAGCGATATTCTCGGCCGATCGCCTTGGTCGACTTTTATATGGCCTCTTCGGATTAGAAAGAGCCTTACCAGTCGAAAATTTTTCGTATAAACGCTTAATGGTGTTCTTAGAAGGCGCACTTCTCACATTTTTTTTCACAATTGACTTCTTCTGTTGAATGTAAATTTCAACTATTTCAGAGCGCTCGCGTGGCGTGTATTGGTTCATGGTAAAAATCTGCTTGGACTGACGCTTCAAACGCGGTATGTCATTAAGCGATGTGACATCTTTGTCAAAAGTTATGGCGTTGCCAGATGGGTCCGTCAAATATGGGCAACCCTGTATAGGTACGGACATTTAGGAAGCCCACTTAGATCAATGGAAACGTTTTCACTCAATAAAAACACTCAGCCATGTAGTTACAGAGCTACATGCCTCAAAATGTGCCTCGTCGAAAGAAAATGTTTTAGATCTTAGATCTCTTTGCACGAAACCCGTTTTAGGACATTTGGAGTCGATTGGCGTACACGTTTCGATTGGCGGATTGGTGTACACGATAACTCTCGAGGGGAGTATTTTAAAATGTGAAATAAAATTCCGATTGTCTCAGAATTTAGCATATTCCAATATTTCTATCAACGCAAGATATGGTGTAAAAAGAGGAGATATCCGACAATTTCCCCCAGAGTATAGTTATATATATATATATATATATATATATATATATATATATATATATATATACATATATATATATGTGGAATCGAACATACATATCGTGTTTGGTGCATTAAACACGAATCTAAACCGATTTCAATGTAATTTGGAAAATGTGTGTTCGTTTTAAATTCCAAATCTGAACCGATTTCTATATAATTTGGCAAATTTATTTTTGTTCCAAATGACTTTATGCATTCTAAATTTGGAGACTGTATCTGTAATCTATTAATAGATATGTGCATACAAAATCTAAATTTTTGGGATGTACGATTCTGATGCCATATCTTCCAAATGAAATTTCAACAAGTTAAAAAGCTGTAAGTTCGGCCGGGCCGAACTTTTAATACCCTCCACCATTTGCAACGAATTTGGAATTTTTCAAAAAATAAAATCCTTAAAAAATTCTGTTAAAATTTTAAAAATACCGAATATAGCCGTTATATTGGGGTCTATACGACGTTGACATACATAGGCATTGTTTGTCATAAGCCATTACCATATTCAAATTCGAAACTTGAAATAAACTGTGAATAATGTACCTAAAATCATCAAAATATCGTATATAAGGAGGTGCCGTTAAATTGGAGCTGTGCGAAGACCTGGGCCAGCATAGACAATTTTCTGTCACTGTAGCAGCATCCATTACGAACTTCAAATACCACATCTCAAATAATTTCGGTGGGTATTGTACCTAAAATCGACAAAATACCGAATATAGGGAGATACTGATATATGGGGCCTATACGAAGACCTGGACCCGCACAGAAAATTTTCTGTCACAGACTGTAGTTTCCATAACGAACTTCAAAAACCAATTTTGAAACAATTCCGTTGAATAATGTCGCTAAAATCATCAAAATACCGAATATCGGGAGGTACCGTTATATGGGGGCTATACGAAGACATGGACTTGCACAGACAATTTTCTGTCTTAAACTGTAGTATCCATTTTGAACTTCAAATACCAAATTTTAAATTACTTCCGGGAAAAAAGGTCGCTAAAATCATCAAAATACCGAATATCGGGAGGTACCGTTATATGGGGGCTATATGAAAACGTGGACTTACATGGCCCATTTTCGAACTTAACCTGCCTACTGGAAAAATAAACATGTGGGCCAAATTTTAGCCATCTATCTCAATTCATTCGAAAGATAGCGGGATTACAACAGACATCGCTAAATCGACTTAGAATTTTACGCTGATCAGGAATATATATACTTTGTTGAGTCTGACATCTTAGTACACGATTTAAATTCTTGTCTTTCGAGAGACCGACACCTGATTGAGAATGTAACTTCCCACTGAACACGAAACCCGCCGCCCGATTTTGGTACAAACCACTGCTACGAAAATATTCCACAAAGAGGGCGACATCATTTACCTGTCTAAGCCCAAGGACCCCTAGGAAACTGACACCCATGATTTCAGAAAAAAAACTCAACCAAATCACGATTGCGAAATTATAAAGTAACTGTCAGCCATTTCTATTCAAAAAAGAAAATCAGTGACCCAGCTAAAATGCATTCAAACGCAATAGCCGAGTTAATGGATGTCGGTTGGTCGTTCCGTGGGTCGAGTTATTGACATCGAACTCAAACTCATATCGACGTTAACTGAAAGTTCAACAACTCAATTATTCAGGGCGAAAATAAAAACCACGAACTCTGCTACATATTTTTTTGCTGTTGTTATTTGCATAACAATCATACGCTTTAAGTGTTGAGGAGGTATAGATAGAAAACGGTATGCGCGGTTTGCAATGTTAAAATCATATGGCACCGGGAAACACTTGAGGGACGGGTGGAAACCGGCAGTAATGAGGAAGAAAACTATTGCCAGTGGCATTAACAGAAGTTACTGGCAATAGCCCAAAAAGCAAAACACAGCCATACACACACACACATGAATATTTTGAGGATATACAGGATAAAAATTACTCTCTTTTTGCGCGAGTTCTCTCTCATAAACTTCTGCTCTCACTTGACGACATGCAAGTGAATATTGTTATTTTGCTTGTTGTTTAGGGCGTGGTACATTTGTGTAGGTATACCTGTGCGCAAAACAACAACGACAACAACAACATACAATCACCGGCACCTATAGGTTCAACACAACAACAAGGAACTCTCTTTAAAGGAGCGCATACACGCACTGGCACAATCATGCATTTTCACTCCTCCACTCTCATTATGGCTGGCATGAAAAAAGGGCAAAAGCGCAAATGTAGGTCAAATTGCAATTTTGCCAAGAATCACAAACACGGAGAGGGGTGGGTGCTTGGACTCAAACTGCAGCTAGCTGCAAACTTTTGCAAAGTTCAAGGGATACATTATTGGCCAATTCCCTTATAGAGTTCGGGTTTTCCGGGCTGGACCCTATATGCAACTTACCTTAATTTCTCGTTCAGCGAGCCACGATTCGATCTTGGTGGAGTATAGCGAAAATATTCGTAGAAAATAGGTTTCCACTTTCCGAAGTAGAGAAAAATTATACACCGAACTTAAGAGTCAATCGACAATCTATATATGCGTACGTACGTATGTAGTCTATATAGAGTGCATATATGTATAGTTGAACGAACCAATCCGATATTTTGTGAATGAGAATTGAACGAACCGAAAAAATCAACAAGACATATGTTTTGTCCAGATAGAGATCTTTGGAAAATTATAGTTGGTTTCCAAGGTGTCCCAATGGTTTCTTAGATCAGAAATTTTTGTTAAGGTCTTTTTCACTTTAGGAATTGTTCCCGAACTTTGGCTTCCTTTTTTTCTTTGTTTTGGTGGATGTGGGTCAAACCAGTTGTTGCCAAGTTGTCTTGTGCCAGGAACCGCCGCACTTACTTGCTCTGCGTTGTCCTGAGGATGTCCAATTTCCGTTCAAGGGAAAATTTCGAAACGAAACTGTTCTTTTGATTTTTGGGCTAAATCCCAATTCAACGGAATTCCAAATCGATTGTGGTTGATTTACGTGTTTATTTGAATTGATCGATTGATTGATTGATTGATTTTGGTTTGATTCTACGAAACAAGGAGAAATTATATAGCGACGCAAATTATAAATTATATGAGTAGAATTTAATAAAAACGCGCTTAAAAAGAACCGCGTTCTCTTTGCTGGATACTTTGAAGACCGCTTGACTCGTACTGAAATGCAAAAGTGTCCCAACACAGTAAATGTTGAGCCAGCCAGCCAGCCAACAAGGCAGCCGAACGAACAGCCAACCAGCCAGCAAGCCACCACATACATAACACATCACATCACAGCGACTGTGGTGTTGCGTTGTATGGCGCTGTTGATGGTGGCAATGATGCCTAGCCTGGGCTGGCGACACACATTCTTCCCACATGGCCCACACAGCGGCAGTCAGCCACCAGCCACCATCGACACTCACACTGCATCGTCCTAATAATGAAAAGGACATGGATTTTGATTTCGATGTCTTTTTCATACCCAGCTAGGATTTTGTTTTTGTTACACATTTCTGCATCACCTACATACATTCTGGCTACACTCCCACTGGGCTAGAACGGCAATACAAGGCACCTAGTTTTGTCATGTCACAAAACTCTACACTGGATTCAGAGAGGTAGAGAGCGAGAGAATGAGCTTGATACAAAATAGAAAGAGGCGTGAGAAAGAGCGCCACAAATTAAGGAAATGGGTTACAACCAGGGATGCCAAAACCAAATAATATTCCTATTTCGCCAAAGTTAACGTTTCGTGCTACCGATTTGGTCCAATCAGCAGAAAATCTATTATTAGGTACCAGTAGAAATTCGAGTTTAGCTTTGTTTACTTACTAAAGAGTAGCTTCGCTTGGCCGAAAGTTGCGGACTGCCGAATTTGGTTTTCTGCGATGAGAAAACATTCGTTGTCCAGTAGTTTGTAAACAAGCAAAATTATAGGAGGTCAGCTGAAAATGTGCAACTTCAGTTGGCCACCTGAACTCAAGCGCCGGCCATGGTGATAGTGTGAGCCGCCATAACAGCCGAAGGTCGCACGTATTAATCGACCGTAGCATCAGAATAAATGCCGAATATTATCGCGAAAGTATTGTGGAGGGTGTAATAAATCCTTGGGAACTCAAATATTTTGGCCGCAGAACTTGGACATTCCAACAGGACTACGCACCATCGCACTTAGCACGCGCCACCCAAGAATGGTTACAAAATGAGGTTCCTCGCTTCATTTCCAGCGCACAATGGCCACTAAAATCTCCGTCTGAAGGCCATAATTTGTGCCAAGGGTGACCAATTCGAACAAATTTAAGCTTATTCTAAAATTTGATGTTTTTTCCGACACGAAATTTTAGACCCATATAGACAGTTATATGCGGAGACTTTTCCTTCAAGTACAAGTACTTCAAATGTGGTGAAAATTGGTTATGATATGTCTATGGTTATGATATATCTATATATACCTCTGCCAAATTTGATTGAAATCGCTTCAATTTTAAAAATAGTTTTCTTATATATATATTCATCCGATTTCACGGTTGGTGTGTGCCAAATATGTAATATCAGCCAAAATTGGATGGAATTCTGCACATTGAACAGAACGTTTCCATTTGACGAAACTAGGTTCGCATATATCTACTGCTCCAATATATATTTTTAAATATACTCCTTCTTAAAGTCATATAATGTACTCTAAAGCAATGTTATTGGGTACGAGAGGTTCAAGCGGCTTAAATTTAGTGGAAATCGGTTCAGAGTTTCATTTCTTTCCTCGGATTCCCATTTATAATACGAATTCAAAAAAGGTAAACGTTTATTTTTTACGGGTAGCTGTACTAAATATGCATAGTAGTGTAGGGCATCAGGGGCCGGCTTTAGACCTCCCTTTACTGGTAATTTAACTTTATTTTGGCCCGTGATGGCGTTTTGGTAAGTACTTACCAATGCTAAAACAAGTAAAAAAGCTGTAAGTCCCGGTGTAATTTAACAATTTTCAAAAAATAAAATCCGTTAAAAATTCTGTTAAAATCTTAAAAATACCGAATGTGGGTCTATATTGGTCTATACGACGACTTTGACCTGTATATGCAACTTTTGTCACAAGCTATTACAATATTCAAATGCGAAACTTGAAAAAAAATCTGTTTATAATGTAGATAAAATCATCAAAATATCGAATATAGAGAGGTACCATGGGGGTTATAAAACGTGGACCTGCACAGACAATTTTCTGTTGTAGGCTGTAGTAACTTCAAATACAAATTTGAAATAATTCCGGTAAATAACGTCGCTAAAATCATCAAAATACCGCATATCGGGAGGTACCGTTATATGGGGGCTATACGAAGACGCACAGATAATTTTCTGTCATAGACTGTAGTATTCATTACGACCTTCAAATATAAAATTTGAAATAGTTCCGATAAATAATGTCTCCAAAATCATCAGAATACACAATATCGGGAGGTACCGTTATATGGGGACTATACGAAGACGAGGACCGGTAAATAATGTCGCTAAAATCATCTAAATACAGAATATCGAGGGGTACCGTTATATAGGGGCCATACGAAGATGTGGACCTACATGGTCCATTTTCTGTTTTATGCTGTAGTATCTATTACGAAATTCAAATACCAAATTTGAAACAATTCCGGTAAATAATGTCGACATAGAATTTTATGCTGATCAAGAATATATATATACTTAGTGGGGTCTAAAATGTATATTTCGAGGTGTTACAAACGGAATGACTAACTTAATATACCCTCCATACAACGACACCTTCCTATATTCAGTATTTTGATAATTTTAGCCTCATTTTTCAATGGAATTGTCTGAAAATCGACACAAGAAGTTCCATTGCGGAACTTTATCCCATGGAAGAGAATTATCTATATGGGTCCACGATATCGTATACTCCCATATAACGGTACCACCCAATTTTCGATATTTTGATGATTTCTGAAAAAAAAAAATAATGGAATTGTCTTCAGATCCACACAAGGGGTTCCTTTAGAGTAATTTACCCTCAGAAGAGAATTATCTAAATAGCTCCACGTTTCAGTATAGCGCCCATATAACGGTACCCCCAGACATTTGGTATTTTCATGATTTTTGCGACATTAATCACCGGATTTGTTTAAAATTTCGTATATAAAGTTCGGAACAGTTACTACAGCCTATGACACAAACTACTTATGCAGTACCACGTCTTCGTATAGCCCCCATATACCTGATTTCATTTGAGCGATATTTTCCGCTGGGCCGAATTTAGCTACTTTTTTACATGTTATTTGTTCAATTCTTTTATTTTTGGTTCACTTTTTATTGGCAACCCATGCAGGTACAGGGATTTAAAAGCTTTTTTCAAACTTCTTAGCCGGTTTGTATGGAAATAAAAATTCCTCTTCATGCTTTAATTCATTTCCTTGAAGAGAGGCACATTTTAATAACAAACACACAACAAAGCACAAATATTTATTTGGAGAGGAATCCTTTTTTATTGGAGAACCTATTAATTCAATTTATTTATGACAGCTCTTTTTGCCAACGAAATCTCCATAGTTCTCCACGACCACACACAACCAAACAACATGTCCTGCTCTCTCTCTCTCTCTCTCCGACTCTCTGTTTTCAAACGATTTTCACTTCTAACCAATCCCACTGCAATCGCGTCTACCTACTTTTTTGACCGGATTTTTATTGCTGTTGTTTTGTGATGTGTACGCTGCACTGCTGTGCATTGGTATGTGTGGCAAAATGTATATATATGTGTGTGTATGCGAGTGAGTTTTCTCCTTTATATGGTGAATGAACCTAGGAAATGCATTTATCCATTATTATACCCTACATTTCGTGCGAAAGCTTTAGGTGAAGTATTTTAATTTTACTTTGGTAATTATGTTAAAGGTACAAGGAATCGTGAGAAGTAAGTTTTTATTTTTTAGCTTGAAAAAGAATTATATAACTAATATAATTTTATGGAAAAACATAACCCCTGGGAGTAAAAATGATTCTGGAGGTAGTCTATAGATCTCTTTCAAATTTCAAAACTCTATCCTTAATATTGCAAAATATATCATAAACCATTGTATATGGCCAAAGTATATAAGGGCGTTAATAAAATTTGGCCTAAGAACCTTAAACTCTTTTGGAGTTTTGATCTTAAACCGACTACTATCCACAATGTAGACTGGCAAATGTACAGTAAAGTTCTCAGAGATAAAAAAGGTTTTTTACTAACAAAAATTGTTTCTACTTTTATGGTACATATTAAGTATACAAATTTCTTTTTTCAGAGACTCACAATGAAATTTGATCTAGAATAATAAATGAAATTTTATCTTACTTTCAGGTGCTAACTCGAAAAAGTCCGAGGAAAATTTGATAACAAACAAGTAGGCAAAAGCTACAGTAGTGCGGGGCCGACCATATGATACCCTACAGCACTACAATATGTAAGAGCCCCCTTATGTCCAAATCCATTTTGGAAGAAATGATGTCACTGCCCAAATATTACCCTTAGCTTTCTGTTCAGGGATATTTGCTTAATATTTACGAACTCCGTCGTGCGCTTAGCTGTTGTGATCCATTTTACAACTAAATACAATCAAATGGTCATCCGAAATTCTAGAACTCTTCCCTGTCCTTAACTATTTTCTCGGGAGTGTCGATTGGCTTCAATTGAGTGATCAGGATTTTTTTCTGTTTTTGGTTCATTTGAACACCTAAATATTTTGCGATCATCTCTAAAAGCAAGAGGCCCTTCTGTATCTCCAAATTTAGACTCATCTATATGATATGCTTGTCTCCGATATTTGGCTATATTCGTCATCAAAATCAGCATAAACAAGTAAAAAAGCTGTAAGTTCGGTCGGGCCGAACTTTTAATACCTCCACCATTTGGTACAAATTTGGCAATTTCCAAAAAAAAAAAAAAAAATAAAATCCGTTAAAAATTCTGTTAAAATCTTAAAAATGCCGAATGCCTATACGACGACGTGGATCTGCATAGGTAACTTTTATCATAAGTTATTACAATATTTAAATGCGAAACTTGAAGAAAAATCTGTTTATAATGTAGCTAAAATCATCAAAATACAAAAATATAGGGGATACCGTTATATGGGGGCTATACGAAGACGTGGACCTGCACAGACAATTTTCTGGCATGGGATGAAGTATCCAT